CTAGCAGATTAATCGAACACCAGGAGGGGGTCGTGGGAACCTGAGAAGCCCAGGTGACAACCTGGACTGGCATCTGGAGTGGGGGCTGAGGGGCAGTCTTGTAGGACTGAGCCCTTCTCCTTGGGATCTGATACCGGCTCTGGGTAGAATGTGTCAGAATCGTGTTGAATTGTAGGACAGCCAGCTGGTGCCTGAGAATTGCAGGTATGTGGAGAACCACCCCCTGCATCAGAACTGTTGACTAGAAATTGATTCAACATCAAAATTACAACACAGTTTGCATGAAAAGGAGTTTGAATGCCATAGAGTTCGTTCACTGGAATAGGACCGTCTCTCCGCACTGCATTCCACAGCTCTGGGGCACAGAGCGGGCACCTGGCAACATATTTTGTCATTGTTAACTTTAATGAGAAGCTCATGACCTTGTTTCTGTATCAAACACCATCAGTTCTTCTCCTTTAGTTTCACCTTGATGCTCCTCCACGTACAGAGTCTCTCCCTCCTGCATCCTTCCTCCCAGAGCCTGTTCTCATAGTTCACATCTCATGACCTCAGCTGGAGACAGGATCCAGCCTCTTGGTACCCACAGAAGGGAAACTTGACGGGTCCAGTTCAGTCCTATCCACTCGGTGCACCCCACAGCTAACAGGAGTGTAAAGTGCTGTCTTGCTTCTGCTCTGGGATTTCCCAGGTCCTCGAGAGCCCCATCGTGGTCTGGGGGCAAGACCCTGATGTTAGAAGTCAGAAGCTTTGGTTCCCATCCCTGTCCTGAGAACAGTTTAATTCGGACCTTCGGTGGCTTGGTAAACTTGGCCTGTCCAACGTACAATGAATCTTAAAGATGCCAATGGCTGGGAGCAAACCGAGAGGCCCTCTGGCCCCAGCCCTCCATTTCGAGAGGAAAGAAAAGCAGGGGCGCCAGACTGGAGCCCCCCGCCTCCTGGCAGAAGCAGCTGGGGAAAGGCTTTGTCTAAGACAAATGCAAGACACATGTTAAATATGATTGCTCTTATTAAAACACTTCCTTCTGTCATCGCTGGGAAATATTCCGTCAAAAGACGAGACGTAAAACTATGTACACGTTATGCTGCCGTGTATGTATTTTGTTGTTATTGTTTTCCAAGGAAGGGCGTTGGATAATCACATACATGTGCAGAATATCTTTGGGAGCAGCGACTGCTTCTGGACAGTGGGCTGGGGACTGGGTGGGGCTGCAGAGGAGAATGAGGAAGGTATTTACCAAATCTTTCTGTTCATTCTTGCCTGCTGGCCAGGCGACAAAAGGAACTTTGGGTTTCAGTGAGGAAACCTGAATTAATTACCCTGTTCCCTTTCTCTCTTTCCTCTGTAACTTAATTAAGATAGAAGCTATCGGCACTTTCTTGCTCGCTGGCCCTGGAGAGGACTCACAAATAAATCCACACCCAGAAGTTGTGAGAGGTCCAGGGCGTTTCCTGGACCTCCCGAGTCCCCACCCAGCCTCCTCTTCTATTGGGCAAAGCTTTGGCAAGACCTGAATTTCCAAGCAGAAGAAATACCCAGGCAGAGAGCGGGGAGGCTCTGCTGAGCCCCAGAGTTGGCAAAGACCTTGTGGGCACCAACTCTTGTCATCCTGTAACTTCTCCATTTTCCTCACTGCCCGTGGGCTCACGGCCCCTGGAGTCCACACACGTGCTTTGGTGAGAAGCAGTGTTGAACTAGAAATCAGCTCCACCCCTGGCATGCACTAACTCTCTTGTTCCTGAGAGTTTTCTTCTTCCTTTTCATCCCCCTGATGCCTTGGAAGAGTGTTAGTTAGGCTCAGAAGTATCGAGTCTATTGCAGTTTATTGATGGACCACTACAGAGACATGTTCCGATGAAACGCAAGGCAATTCCTGCTCTCTGGAATTCTACATCCACGTGGGAAAGAGAGACCAGAAGTACATGAAGCTTCAAAGAGAGAAAAATTAGCATGAATCTATTAAAGGAAATAATAAGAGTAGCAAACATTTGTAGAGTGGCTCCCTATCTCTTTTAATCTTTAGTGTCATTCCTAGGATGATAGAATTACCAGGTCAACTCAGGGCACCTCTGCATGGACGGAAGGCTGTAATGAGAGACTATTTTGTTCTCTAGCTGATTCCTCACTGCTTGTATCTCCAGTTCACTTCCCTTGTACGGTCATCAGAATTAACAGGATCTCATGACATCAGCTTTGATGCTCTGGGCACCCAGATAAGCCAGGTTTTATCACTTCTATCTCCATAATTTCGGATGAAACAGATGTCTGAAGGTTAAGTACTCAGAACGTCTCCCAGCACTGATCATAAATGAAGCCCACGCTCTGTCCTCACGTGTGATCGCTTGCAGTGGTCATCTGTCACTTCAATTTCGGAGCGAGACAAAACAGACTTCCCATATCTAGGTGAAATGTAGGTAAAATGGGGAGAAATTGTGGTCCTTACCGAGGGAGGAGCCCAGCTCCAGCTGTAGAGGTTGGGGGACAGCTGCTACTCCAGGGCCCGTGATTGCACGATGCCCCCTCCCTCTGACACTGTCACCTGAATGCCTACCCCGCAGAGAGCCAAGCAAAAATCCCAGCGAGGATGCATGAGATTGGGACAAAAGTGCTTTGCGCGCAGCTACCTTGCATTTCTCCTCTCTCTGGCTCAGAGTGAAGTTCTGAAACCATGTCACTGCGATTATCATTTTCTTGTGCATTTGAGACTAAATTGACATCTGAAAACCTAGCTCACAGGCAAAAAGGTAAAACTGCAGATAAATGCTTGGCCAAAAAAGTATTTTTGGAAACAGCAAGTAATATATCAAAACAAAGAATTTTCTAACGATTCCAAAATGGGATGTGCTTCATTTCAGCAGGGACTGGATGTGTGAGAGAGCTATGACCCTCCGCTACTTGTGTCCCCTGCAGGGGCCAGCCCAGTCCTTTGCCCAGAGAAGGTCCCCTTAAGGCTTCAACTCAACTGCTCACCCACTGGGCAGCGCATTGCTTCCTGGCTGCCCCCAGGGGTTGGCCAATCTTTACTTCCAATCACATTGCAGACCTACTAAAAACTCCCCAAGGCTGTCTAGAAAACATTGTTTTCTATTGAGTTACACCACAGAAATTTGCTATCAAGGCAAGATCGATTGGCTTTGGTCTTTCAGATAGTGGAGGAACTCAGGGGCTGATAGAAAGCACCCCACTGCTTTCAGGTCCTACAGGGTCGTGACACGGCACACGTCCAGTGGAAACATCCCCAGGAGTGTAGCTGCACCAGTTGACCCCCCAGCTGGGAGCCATCTCTCCGAGGCTGTGCAAACCCCCATTCGGTCCAGCTCATTCCGGGTAGGCAGTCTTCGTGATCTGTTTCAGACCTCAAGGCAAACACAAGGGGCATTGTGAGCATGAGAAGACCCGGCTCCAGCGTTGCCTGTGTGACCCCCAGTGAGCACGTCTACATACAGGCCATCTCAGAGAGGTTTAGACAAGACCATCTCCAAGGCCCACGCTGGAAAGGTCCCATCCATCTTCCATAATGCATTCCGACGCACCTGCACAATCAGAAGCAGGAAGTACCTGGGTGGGCAGATGTTGGTTTCAGGATATGATCATTCTGTCCTCCCTACGTGCGGCCTGACAGCCCCACTGCTCACCTTCTCAGGAGGAGGTGAGCAGTGGATTCCCTCGAACCGTCTCGGGGCCTCCTCGCTTCTCTTAAGCTGATGCTCTGTCTGGTGGCCCATCTCGCTGCACCTGTGGCTTCCCGGGTTGACAGCTCTGCGAGTCCGTGGGGCACAGGTCCCAGCCCTGAACTCCCCTGGCTGTCCTCCTTCCCAGCCGCTCCAGCCCTGATCACCTCTTGGCAAACAAACATCCCCAGATCTTTCCACGAGAGCTCTAGATCTTTCCACGAGAGCTCTAGTGCATTTAAGAGGAATGTTCTTCCCCGAGTGGAATTTAAGTGGAACCCAGATCTTTCCACGAGAGCTCTAGCTCATTTATGAGGAATGTTCTTCCCCGAGTGGAATTTAACTGGAACTCAAATCACATGGGCTCTTTAGGTTTTTTTTATGAAAAGCATCAAAATTGTGCACCTTGACACTTGTACACTAGTGCAGATCCAGGTTTGTTGGGCCTGGTCTGGGAGAGTACGAAAGCAGACCCAGGGCCACGGAGGGGCCCAAGCAAGGGAGGAGCCCTGAGGCTGCAGCTACACTAGCTTCATGGTAATTCCACCTCTGTCCTTATTTGGAGACCTGAATCTTGGGGACACTGTGCTTTCTCTGCCGCGGATGTTCTATCACTTGTGTTGGTCTGTCACCATCATAAGGACAACGTGAGGAAGAGATTAAGCATGCCAGCCAGAGGGGCCTGGGTGCCAACACCAGCTGCCTCTTTCCTTGCTTTGTGGTCTCGAGCTAACCTCCCTCTGCTTCAGTTTCTTCCTCTGAAAACAAACAGAGGGAACCATGCCTCTTTCACGGATGTGCTGTTGAGAATCACAGGGAGGGCGTGTTTATGTGACACGGAGACGAGTGTTTAATTCTATTCATTCAGTGAATGATGGACCAAACTCCCATTCAACAGTGTTGATTAGAGTTTGGCAGTTGTGGTTGAAATCTACCTTCTACAAAGGCAGGTTGGTTATTCACTTGACAATAATCGGCATGGAGGATGCAAGCAGTTATTCAGAGGTAGTATAAATACGTAAAAACAAGATGCAAAACAGAATCACACTTAGCCTGAACAGGCGGCCAAGAATTATTTTCCTACCACAATGTACCAAAGGGATAAAACACAATCCAGACGATGACAGCAGTGGCTTCCTACAGCAGCAAGAGGAGCACACACACAGTTTTCAAAGCTCTCGGGTATTGTTGCCTCTTCGTGGTACTTGATCTCCTCCGAGTTCCATTCCAGCACCTAAAACCCATTCCCGCGCCAGCTGGGAATCACACCCTTTACAAGACTTCAGGCAAAATACTGAATTTATTCCCTTGATTTGACCAGTCACGTTGGATAAAAGTGTCATTTTTATTTGCATGATGTAAAAACATACTTTGAAGTAGGAATACTCACATACTTTACAGTGTTAAAAATATATATATAATAAGAAAGATTCATGAAGGCATTTGATATAAAACATACACAGTATGCTATTTTAATATACAAATGCTTTAAAGAAAATAGAGAAATAAGAGTTATAAAAGTCGCATTATTAAGAATTTATAAATGGTTCCATTTTTCTTAAAGGTCACATTCTCATCCTTTGGGATGTACAGACATTATGTGGTTTAACACAGTTTTATCCACATTCAAAACATCACGTTTTAAATGTTTGAAGCATAGCACGTACAGTACAAAATGTTTCCATAGGAACGTAACAGAACCCATCTCTAGTGGCCTGCCGCCAGATGGCTCCTAACTCATCAGCCATTTTTAAGACACTAGTCCAGCTCATTGCTGCAATATTTTCATTTATATTGGGGTTTACTGACAAAGACTCAAAGAGTTATCATAGAATACACACTAATATACACCAAACTATTCTGAGTTCAATGAACTTCCCATATTTAAATTAGAACCGAGAATAGTAATTTTAGGCTAATATATTATCCTTGTGATTGGTATTTTTTAAATTTTGAGCAAAGTGCACAGTGAATGGAATCAGCCACTGGAAACGATCCTTCGGTGAACTCTCAGCTTCGAGTCAGACGTACCACCTGAGAAATGAGAACCTTCCAGCCTGATGGGGCCCCGGGCAGCTTCACAGATCAACACACAGGAGCCACGTGGAGTCACGTCCATGAGTCGTGGGAGCCCAGCCGATAAACGCACAATTCACTTGACAGAGCCCCTGCACGGAGTCAGCAGAATCAGCTTCCCAGAGACCAGCAAATGCTGAGTCCTAATTTAGGGCAAATGCCGCCATCCATCAGCCGTATTCTAGCGTTGGTGGACCCCGGACAAGGTTGAAATAGCCAGCCAGGGCCCCAAGGTCTATGTAGAGAGAACGCTGTCTCTTCAGCACCTCCGATTCCTCGGTGCTCCCTGTGCATGAAGAATCTGAAAAGGGAAACATCGAAAAAATAAAATAAATGACCAGGGGAATGTTCAATGACAAATGCCTGGTTCTTCAGCAAAAAAAAACAGAAACAACAGCAAACTGTGGGCCTAATGGGACGGCATTCAAACTCTGGTTTTATTAAGGAGCCTCAGAGTTGAACACTATTGGCTAGTTTGTGTGATACGACACAGACAAAAGAACGCAAAAAAGAGTCAACGACCACAAGAAATCAGCTAGAAATCCTGGCCCATCTTCCAACATCCCAGATGATTCTTTTCAAATGCAGAAAAGTCAGACAAGAAGCCGAGAAATGCAAACCAGAGTTCCAGGCTTGACGTCTGGGTTTGGACCCAAACAGATTGAGAATGTCACAGATTTTCATAAGAAAAACGGAAACCCCTCTCTGTGCATATTCAATGCTCCTGGAATGCGTATTGTCTTTCCTAAATGGGAAAGCTTCACAGCTGGCAGAGAGATTTTGAGCAGAGGAAGCAGAAATGCAAGTTGCCTTCAAACTCAATATTTTATCAACACTGTGATGTTTCCAAACAAGCGCTGGTGTGGTTTACCATAATTGCATTAAAAAGAACCCGGCTCTTTGCTAACAGCAAAACTGTCATGCTTGATCTGTTTTTAAAAGCAAATGCTATTCTTTGCTGCAAAAAAGCAAGGCAGAGCAATTCTCAAAGACTGCATTATCTCCATTTGCCTGGAAACCAGTTAGACTTTGCTGATAAATTAGCCAATTTTTTTCTTAATTGTGATTTTTTTCTTTTTGGCCGTGCCCCGCGACAGGTGATATCTTAGTTCCCTGACCAGGGATAGAACCCGTGCCCCCTGCAATGGAAGCACAGAGTCTTAACCACTGGACCACCAGGGAATTCCCAGCCAATTTTTTTTGTGTGTGTATATGCTTTAGCTAACATTCTTGCTGAAATTTCTCCAACAACTTATGGCATGCAGGAAGTCACTTCAATTTTTTTTAATTTTATTGAAGTCTAGTTGATTGACAATGTTGTGTTCATTTCTGCTGTACAGCAAAGTGACTCAGTTATACACATAGATATTCTTTTTCATATTCTTTTCCATTCTGGTTTTATCACAGGATATTGACTATAGTTCCCTGTGCTCTACAGCAGGACCTTGCTGTTTATCCATCCTATAGATACCAGTTTGCATCTGCTAATTCCATTTTTTTCCCAAGTGCTTTCGTGAGCTCTAATTCTTAGAAGTTGGACAGAGGCAGAAAAAGAAGGGAAGCAAGGGCGCTGCACACTGCAGGGCGTCCATACCGGCGATGTTCTCAGGAAGCTCCAACTCCTTGCGGCTCAGCAGCCGCTTCTGCTCAAAGAGGGCAGAGTCCAGGCTCTGACAGCGGGGCTGATCCTCCCTAGGGGGGTTCAGGGCGTCGTGTTTCAGCAGGTCTGCTGCCCTGGGGCGGTGACTGGGGTTCCTCTCCAGAGCGGCCTCCATCAGCTCTCTCATGCCAGGACTGCAGTCTTCAGCGATATCTTCCAAAGGAGGCGCTTGCTTGTGGATCTATGAACAAACCAGCTCTCTTAGCGTCACTGGTATGAAAATATACCCTCGACAGCACGAGTGCTTTAGTTACAAGACCTGCGCGGTCTTTTGTTTCGAAGCAAATACAGCTCATACCCTTCAGGAACATTTCCTAAGGAAACTGAGTGAAACCCATGTTTTGGTTGAATGCAGTCAAAGATACATGCGAGGTTTGAATAAACAGCTTTCCAGCAGAGCAGTGGCCAAAGGTCCCTGTGCAGTAACGGGGAAGGGTCTACTTCTCAACCTCTCCACTGTCAAAGGGGGCCTGCGTGTTTCACTACGTTCCAGGCTGCCGTGGGGATCTATAATCTAACCTCTTATTTTGGAACGTGTTCAAAGAACACATACGACTTCCTCGGCGCAAGGATTTATGCTACTCTGATGCTCTTCAGTGGCATCTTGTATACCAGCATAGCTATAATTTCTGCTCATGCACATTGGGGTAGGTTCCCACTCAAACAGCGATGCCTTCTTTGCGGGAACGGGTCATCGCTCCACGTGGGAGGAACTTTCAGCGTCCCCTCATGGGTCATAGTTCACCATCATCCCATTCAGGTGTGTCACCCGAGAAAGAGCAGCTCTCCTGAGCAGGTGGGGTGCCCCGCTGCCCCTGCTTACTATGTACAGGTAGGAGGGGTAGGCGGAGCGTGGGTAGCGCTTCACCCAGGGCGGGGTGCCCGTCTGCATGTGGATGAGCGTGGCCCCCAGGCTGTAGATGTCTGCTTTGGTCGAATGGCCTCTGCACAGGATCACCTCCGGGCTCATGTAAATCTGAAAGAGAAGCAGGACAGTTCAGTCTGACTCCCCTCACCTGTCTAGGTACCACTTCCCTAATCCAGTTCAGGAAGTTTCACCATATTCCCCGCACACTTCATCCCCTCAGAAGGGCCTGGCATTGCTGTGTTCCCTTCAGCGAAGGAGAAGCACAGACCCTCGGGACCCAGGCAGCCTTGGCCGAGGGGCCCCTGCAGCCTCAGAACACCTCTTCGCACAGACTGAACACAAGGCAGACCAGGCGGCAAAGGACCCGCAGCCGAGAGCCCACCTGGGAGTCCCACCCATCCAAGTTCTGCAAAGCACAGATCGACGCTTCCTGTTTCTAGTAAAACATCAATTCCTTTCATATCTAAATGACACTGAAATACATGTCCTCATTTCATGTTTGTCATTAAAATGCCAAACCACTAATTATCTACAGTCATCAAAGGCAGCAGAAGTCTCCATGGTATCAACACCGACTACGCGGAAGAGAAGAATTTAAAGTGTAATGATGGGAAAGTGATCCTAATTGGTCAATTCTATGACCCACTTCTTATTTCTACACACCAGGGAGCCCAGTGACTAAATATTGAAGGCATGCCATGTTCACATTGTGTAAGTTCTGTCTGGTTTTATGAGCCGATGCTGGAAAAGGAGGGCTAGTTTTAGAGACAGTTTCTCTAAGCAGCGTTTGTTTCTAAACGTAAAAAAGAGCAAACCCTGGGGACCCGTGTCTTTACGGCGGGTACAGGCAGAGAGCAGTTACCACCCTCATTGTCAATATTTAAGAAGCTCTAAGAAGTTTTGATGCTGCCTGTCATCTGAATATGGAAACGCGGGTGAGTGTTCCCAGAATACATTTCAGAGTAAATAAAGAAAGAACTGGCTTACAAAACCTGGGGAAATTGCCCAGTTTCCCCCTCCTAACTTGCCTCAAGTACTTGCTACAACACAATTCCGGGCTGGCTGGCTTTGGTTCCCTCGCTGATTCTCTCTCTCTCTCTCTCTCTCTCTCTCTCTCTCTCTCTGAAGGGCTTTCTTACCAAATAAAATCACAAGATTTAGCGCCATGCACAGTGGTCAGGACAGCTGCCAACAGCAGTGCCCACCCTGCTCCACCCTTGCCCGCTCCCCTAAGCAAGGATTAGGCAACCATTACTGCGGGATCACCACCGACCGCGATGTGCTCAGGGCCCTGGAGGGACTGGGCACATCGGGGGCGGCAGCATCCCACCCACAAGGAGGCCTGGCTGCGGCCCCTCGGGCCGTTCCCCATCACCCCGCAGAGGCCCACGGCTCACATTCCTGGGTCCTCAAGCCACCAGAGCAGCAGGGCGTGGGGGTCAAGGGCACTTCCTTTCAGGGCTGGCTCTGTGGGGCTTGTGCGCCCGAGGGTGTGGGCACTGGAGCAAAGGAGCCTAGAGGTCAGGGGTCAAGGCCTTCACCTCTGATAACATTTATTACAAAGGGAAAGAGACTGTGTGTGTGTGTGTGTGCGCGCGCGTGTGTGTGTCCGGGCACGAGAGGATGACGAGTGACCTTACATAAGAACTTTACAAAAGGAAGCATGCAATCAAAGGAATTCTAATTAGCTATTCACGTTGATTTTTCCTTCCTTCTCTGTAGCAGGGAATTCAAAAACAATAGCTTAAAGATAGGACAGATGAACCCTGTCATTGTATTAACAATACATGGTTATAAGATCATGTCCCGAATTTGAAGGAGCTCTGTTGGGGGGATCAGAAATCATCTGCTGCCAAGTGGTCAAGTTCTAACGGGAAGCGAATCTGCACGGGTGACCTTGACTAATTATACCTTCTTGCTCTCTAAGGATGAGGAGTCATAACAAGGTTGCCGAGAGCTTTCCTTCCCAATTCATCACGCTCGCCGTCACACTCACCGTCACTCACCGTCACTCACTGTCACACTCACCGTCACTCACTGTCACACTCACTGTCACTCTCACCGTCACACTCACCGTCACTCTCACTGTCACTCACCGTCACAATCACCGTCACACTCACCATCACCGTCACACTCACCGTCTCACCATCACACGCACCGTCACTCTCACCATCATACTCACCGTCACTCTCACTGTCACACCCACCGTGACACGCACCGTCACTCTCAACATCACACTCACTGTCACACTCACCGTCACTCTCACCGTCACACTCACCGTCACATTCACCATCGCTCTCACCATCGCTCTCACCATCACTCTCACCATCACACTCGCCGTCGCTCTCACCGTCACACTCACCATCACATTCACCATCGCTCTCACCGTCGCTCTCACTGTCGCACTCACCATCACTCTCACCATCACACTCACCATCGCTCTCACCATCACACTCACCATCGCTCTCACCGTCACTCTTCGATCGTGAGTGCCATACAGAGGGGGAACAAACACGAGTTATCAGAATAGTTTATAACTAGGAACACCAAGGCCAGTTTATCCCGTCATGGAAAGCAATTTACATTTGGTGAAAATACCTCAATCCAAATACTATCCAGGAACAGACGCTGTGCTCCTATCTCATACTCGAGCACACGCTCTGTTTCTGCTAGAAAATCCCAGAAGGGAGATGTCTTTCCCTGGCTATTGCAAAATATTCAATTTTATCACCCTGCCGGGAAGAGAAAGGTATTTTCCATCTTTAATACCATAAACAGCTTGTTTCTCAAACGGCTCCAGGAAAAAGGGTAGAGTGTCACATATCTGAATGTCTGATGACTGCCAAACATGCTGAAGTATTTTCCGAAAAAAACATGTCATAAGTGTTGTCTTATTAGATTTTGTGCTTTGGGGAAGTTTTCCTAAGATCTGGTGATTAAACCATTCTTTAAAAAAATAATAAATAAATAATGTTTTCTTCTGAACATTATTCTGCTTGAAGACAGCTCTCTAGAATCCTCTCCCAAGTATTTTCCAGAATAAGTTCAGTGATAACAGCAAAATCAAAGACCTCTTCTGCTGCCCGGGGGGAGTCTTTGCTTTCAGAGGGTTAAGAAAAGCCTTACAGAATCTTGGTTTGAAAGGCAGACAATTTTTGTTAGCACTGCAATGAGTTCAGTGCAATACATTCACTAGCTAAACTAGAGGTTATCGTCCGACTAACACTAGGACTGACCTGATAATCTTGGGGCAAACGTCCAGGCAACTGCCCCCTCTCCACTTCCTGAGGGTACTTTCTATAGCTACAAGGGCAGGGGGCTGGGAGGCTCTGACAGTTCACCCTCTGATAGTTTATCATCTCACAGTCATGGAGATGGGTCAGGAAGGCAGATTCTACACCCACGTACCTTCCCAGACGCATCCAACCCCATACCCATCATAACCAACCGTGAACTAAACGGTTAAACGTTCATAATGCAGGTAAATTTAAAACGGGTCCTCCCTCCTTCCTTATTGGCTTTGCCCTGTGCTCCATCCCCGGCACCTACAGCAGTCTTCACACAGCAGGTGCCGGATAGACACTCACTACACAGGTCAACTGCTCAGCCTAATAAGGTGAGCACTAAGTATATTATTTGACAGCCCGGGAACGCATTTCTCTGAACCCCATTTACATTCAGGAAAGTTTTGTTTTTGTTGTTCCCGCTTCACAAATGAGTTAAATAGTATAGCAAGTTTACATCTTCAAATAAGATTCATTTGTACTCCAGTAAATGAGACTTCTTTTAAGATTTCCAGGATTCAAGAGAGGCCTGAAATGCCATCAGTTCTCAGTAAATGTTCTTAAGGACCATGACAATTATGGCTGTAACTGAACCAAAACAGTAATATTAGTTATGCTAAAACCACATATATTAGTTATATCAAAAAGTTACAGAGCCGTTACACCTTAGACTTTAGACTCAGAAAGAACTAGATTTCGAGACCCTGATCTATCAGTAGCTGAGTAACTTGGGGCACTTTATTTTAACCTCTTCAAGCTTATTTTCTTATTTTAAAATGGGAATAATAGTATTTGCCTATAATAATAGTATTGTGAGGATTAAACAATATAATTTATTTCAAGGGCTAAAGAGTATATGGCACAGAGTAAATGCTCATTAAACATGGTCCAATGATAACAATGATTTAATGTAATGGTTTTCTTCCCCTTCTTTGTCCTTTCTGCAGTAATGCTAGCACATCTTATTTTTACTCTTAGTAAGATATTGCCCATTCTGGTGTGAACATAATTACCTCTGTTCCTCGCAGCTCCTTAGGAAAATAGATGTCTTCAGTCATTTGGACACTTAGACCAAAATCCACCAAAACAGCTTTTGTGGACATGAAAACAATGTTGCTAGCTATGAAGAGAGGAAATTTTTCAGTAAAAAAATTGTGTATCTATCCCTAAATAAAATGAAAACATTATTTAAAACAACGAGTTCCATATAAAGATAGATTGAAATGCTTCCCCTACTAAAGTGGGCTTATTACGTTCAAAAGAGAAGGATGAATCTGGGTGAGAGTTTAGGTAAAAATCACTTCAGATTTGTCAAGAATTCAGCCAAGGTGGATATAAATGATTGTAGCCATTAATAATCCTCAAGATACAACAGCCAAGACACGGAAACAACCCAAGTGTCCATTGATGGATGAATGGATGAAGAAGATTTGTATATATATATAAATTTTTGTGATACATAATATATACATATAAATTGTGTGGTATATAGAATGGAATATTATTCAGCCATAAAAAAGAAGGAAACTCTGCTATCTGTGACAATATGGATGAACCTTGACGGCATTATGCGAAATGAAATGAGTCAGACAGGAAAAGACAAATACCGTATGATCTAACATATGTGGAATCTAAAAAAGAAACAAACAAACAAACATAGAAACAGAGAACAGAGTGGTTGCCTCCGGTTGAGGTGGGGGGACTTCGGGAAGGTGGTCAAAGGTTACAAATAATAAGATGAAAAATAATAATCGATGAATATTATTTCGTCTTCCAATAATAAGATGCAAAAGTTCTGGGGCTGTGACGTACAGCATGGTGACTATTGTCCATAATGCCGAATGGCGTATTGGAGAGTTGCTAAGAGAATAGACTTTAAAAGTTCCCACCACACAAAAAATTATAAATACGTGAGACGGATGGATGTTAACTAACCCTATTGTGGTGATAAGTTTGCAATATATACATACATCAAATCATTCCCTTGTACACCTTAAACTCACACAATGTCACGTGTCAATTATTTCTCAGTAAAGCTGGAAAAAGTATTTCTTATATTTTATATATTGAGTTTCAAATTCTAAGACATAAGCATAGTATTATCAAGCCACTTCCTAAAACAAAAAAGTGAAATACCCAATTTCTGTCAGGACCAGTTTTGCCAGTCCAATTTACCCTTAGATATTAGGGGTTCACAGCAGGTCTCTCTTGTGTATTTCCCCACAATCTCTTTATTCCTAGAAAGCAGTCAGTGAAAGCTTCTTTAATGGACTATTGCCAAATTTGTATTCAAAATTAAAAAGCAATTTGTTTTTCAAAAACGTTGACTGTGTTTTTAAGTATGTTACCATTTTTAAAGCCTAGTAACAAGGCAGTCGTTAATGATATGTGGCTATAATCTCTTCCACAACAACTGGAAAATCATCCTTCCTTATGACTTTGAAAGCTCTCGTGACCCCACTGGACTCTAAAATGTATCTCAGGGACCCAGGGAGAAAGCGGGGGAGGGGTGTCTTCCCTGCCACCGAGGACCTTCAGATTGAAGGAGGAGCCATGTGCCTAAGGTCTATCTAGTCCTTTTTAAGCCAAAAAGGGACACGTCCAAGGAGAACTCACGTTTAATGTCATGGTGAATCACTTTCTTCGAGTGCAGAAAATCAAGTCCCTTGAGAACATGCTTTGTCACCCAAATAATCTCAAATTCTCTCATGGGTCCACAGCTCTCCAGTTTCTCCAGGACAGACCCTCCCTCGCCTGCTTCCATAAAGAGATGGACGGTTTCGCCCCATAGAACCGCGCCGTATAACTCAGCGATGTTCTCGTGCCGGAAGCAAGCCTGGATTTCCACGTCAGATGGCTTAAATTGGTCTACTGGGATCTAGAACACAAAACACAAGGAAGATTCTAAACACCCCCAGGATAAAGAAAAGAATACACAGCCCAGGTCAGCTCACAAACCAGAAGGCAAGTAAATGTCCTCAAGGATACTCGGACGTGTTGTGAAATTTACTCCTGAGTTACGATAATGTTTACTGAGATGTACCTTTACATTCATGTCCGCTTAAGGTAAAAAAAAAAAAGAAAAAACAAAATAATGAAATACTGCTTTCATTTAGGGTATAGGTACCCAACCGAAGAATTCTTCATGATGATTGAAACAAAGGAGGTAATTTCCCATCTTTTATACATGTAATTTCTATGGCACCTAGATTTTAGGCCATATTTTCAATATTCCTTGTCACAAAATAATATAATGTCTCTGGTCTCTCAGTTTGTGTTCTAACAATGCATTTAAATAAGCACTGGCCATCTACTCTACAGAAAATCGGAAGTCATTAATAAAGAAAGAAGTAGCTCTTTCAGTGCAGAGAGATATGGAATGTCTCCAAAACATACTGATAGACTGAAAACAATCAAGATGCAGGAGTACATATATTATATTCCCGCTTGTAATGAACTCTTCAGCCATACACATGTCCATGGAAATTCTCTGGAAGGACATGTAAGAACCCGTTAACAGTAGTTACTTTAAGGAAAGGGATCTCATTCTTTAGCCTGCATCCTTTTGGACCTGTTTGGGGTTGTTAATCATCTTATATGTTTCTGTTTTTTCAGAAAAAATATGGCTTCAATATTAAATATAAGGACTGCAAGGAAAACAAACCCACAAATCTATTTCCCACGCCTTTTGCGATGAAACTGAAAAACAGAACACTTTGGTTCTAAGAGCTATAAATAATGTCTCCAGATTTTTTTTTTTAACTTGGACGTATCTCCTAAATGCAACCTTCAGGTAACTTACTATATCACCTCCTTTTCTTCCTTTTTTTTTTTTTTTTTGCGGTACGCGGGCCTCTCACTGTTGCGGCCTCTCCCGTTGCGGAGCACAGGCTCCGGACGCGCAGGCTCAGCGGCCATGGCTCACGGGGCCAGCCACTCCGCGGCATGTGGGATCTTCCCAGATCTGGGCATGAACCCGTGTCCCCTGCATCAGCAGGCGGACTCTCAACCCCTGCGCCAACAGGGAAGCCCTCTTCCTTTTAATAATAGCTGCTCTGGCCACCCCTTAAGGGGGAACAAACAAGGCCCACATGACAATAAGAGAGACTGAGATGATATTCAGTAATTATTTTATGTTTTGTTTTCGTTAAATCAAAAGTGAGTTTGTTTGTTTGTTTGTTTTTTGCGGTACGTGGGCCTCCCACTGCCGTGGCCTCTCCCGTTGCGGAGCACAGGCTCCAGACGCGCAGGCTCAGCAGCCATGGCTCACGGGCCCGGCCGCTCCGCGGCATGTGGGATCTTCCCGGACAGGGGCACGAACCCGTGTCCCCTGCATCGGCAGGCGGACTCTCAACCACCGCGCCACCAGGGAAGCCCAGTGAGTTTGTTTTATTGCACTTTAAAAAAACACAAAACTTTAAAGTAGAACAGACATACACAAAAGTGCAAAACTGGTTAAGTATCAAACTCAATAAATTTTCAACTGAACACACCCATGTAACCACTATGTAGATCAGGAAACAGAAGCCCACCAGCGCCCTGAAGCCCCTGCTGCCCCCTGCCTGTCCCTGCTCCTCATGGGCAGCCACTCATGGGACTTCCAACAGCATGGGTTTGTTTAGCTTTTTCTGGCCCTCATGTAAGAGGAATCTCATACAGTAGATCCTATTTTGTGTCCAGCTGCCCTGGCGTAACCTAATGTAGATCTATCATCGTCAATAGGAAGTTGTAAATCATTTCTTCTCTTCACTGGACAGCATCCCAGTATGTAAATACACCATATTTCAGCACTTGGAAACTTCCCAGTTTGGGGCAATTACAAATACTGCTGCTATGAGCACTCTAGCACGTGGCTCTGGTGACCACGTGTGCATGCCTGCTGGGCGAGCACCTGCACAAGCGGGAATTGCTGGGTCACAGGGCGTGTGCGCGTTCACTTTGCTAGGTCGTGCCAAACGGTTTTCCAAAGTGGGGCACCTCAGCAGTGATTGCTCAATAAGAAGAGATGCGGGGCTTCCCTGGTGGCGCAGTTGTTGAGAATCTGCCTGCCGATGCAGGGGACATGGGTTCGAGCCCTGGTCTGGGAGGATCCCACATGCCGCGGAGCAACTAAGCCCGTGAGCCACAACTACTGAGCCTGCGCGTCCGGAGTCTGTGCTCCGCAACAAGAGAGGCTGCGATAGTGAGAGGCCCGCCCACCGCGATGAAGAGTGGCCCCTGCTTGCCACAACTAGAGAAAGCCCTCGCACAGAAACGAAGACCCAATGCAGCAAAAGTAAATTAATTAATTAATAAACTCCTACCCCCAACATCTTAAAAAAAAAAAAAGAGATGGGTTTTTTCTCTGAAATTCAGCCCTTTAATCTACAGTCCTGAGGAGACTTACAGCTTTCCCAGGGTCTGCTTCCCTGCCTGGTCCCCTCCCCAGTGGGTGGCATTGAAGCAGCAGCAAACAGATGTGCTCTTGCAGGGTAGCTCCCCTTCAGCCACCCAAGAGGGATGAAGTTATCCAAGCTGGCGCTGAAGAAGCTGCTACTTTCTTTGTTATCAGAGCAAACTGATTAAAATCAACTATGGCCTTAAGCAGACCTGGGGGCTGAATGGCCCCAGGTAGCAAATCTATAAAACAGAGATGCTTTTCTTGGACTCAGCACCTTAGATAAGAGGCCGTCGAGGGGTAGCCAGCTTTGAGTGAAGTAAATAAGCGAGCACGCAAAAGCCCCCATGCCGAGCACGCAGGGCACCCTGTCTGCTTATGAAGTACGTACCAGTTTACACGCCATTCTTTTCTTAGTTTTTATGTCTTGTGCTAAGTACACTTTTCCAAAGGCCCCCCGAGGAATAAAATTAGAGCCAATATTCCTGTAAGTCAGCTTCCAAGGAATGAGAAGAACATCAGAGTCTATCTGATAGCGTCCGTTCTGGGGAGTGATTACCTACAACAAAACAAAAAGGCAGGAGGGTAAGAATTTCAGCCAAGTCCTTTTCTGAGACCCGCCCTTTAGAAACTGGTTACGTTAGACCGCATTCCTACACGCAGGGTTCAAAATTAACGTCGCCGTATATAATCGTAACAGTGTACAGAAGCCTCTTAGAGCTCCCATCCAGAGCTTCAGCACAACAGAGAAAGCACGCAACAGAAACACATCCCTGGCCAGACCTGATCATATTGCTATCTACGTGTGAGTAATTCACTGCCAGAGAGAACTTTAGAAATGATTTACCGAATGCACCGTGACTGCTGTGACCAAAAGGCTGAAAAGAAACATTGCAGACATGTAAACTGTGCTGCTAGCTGACTCGTTTCCAGTTAAAATGTGCTAACCTGTTAGTCTGCATACCTATTACTCAGAGGTGACGCACACTCATAGAGAGTAGGGAAATGAACTGAGGTTCACAGAGGATTCTGGAAAACGATGTGTTATGCCAGAGCTATGAGTTGACAGCGCCACGTAAGCTAAGTAAGGGCAGAACCATTTCTCATCCATTCACTCATTTAATATTTACTGAGTGCATGGTATGTGCCAGGCACTGTGTTTGGTTCTGAGCAGGCAGCGATGAACAAGAGACAGATGACCCCTGACCTCTGAGGGTTCATAAGTCAGTAAACACTTTGAACAAGAGGTCTGAAAACCAGCCGACTCAAAAGCTGAGAGCGACAACCTAAGTGTCCATCAACAGAGGAATGGACAAAGAAGATGTGGTACATATACACAGTGGGATACTACTCAGCCATAAAAAGGAATGAAATAATGCCATTTGCAGCAACGTGGATGGACCTGGAGATGATCATACTAAGTGAAGTAAGTCAGACAGAGAAAGACAAATACATATGATATCACTTATATGTGGAATCTAAAATATGACACAAATGAACTTATATACAAAACAGAAATAAACCCACAGACATAGAAAACAAACTTACGGTTACGAAAGGGGACAGTGGGAGGATAAATTAGGAGTTTGGGATTAACATATACATACAGCTATGTATAAAATAGATAACCAACAAGGACCTACTGTATAGCACAGGGGACTATACTCAATATTTTGCAATAACCTATAAGGGAAAAGAATCTGAAAAAAAAAAAAATATATATATATATATACACAGTATAGTATAACTGAAACACGTTGCTGTACGCCTGAAACTAACACAACATTGTAAATCAACTATACTTCAATTTTTAAATAAATGAATAAAAATAACAATTAACAAAAATTAAGAGAGAGATATCCTGATAGCAGTGTGGGTTATAAGGTATGTACCCGTGTCAAAACCCATCAAACTGGATATTAAAGACCTGTGTATTTTACTGCATATAAAGTCTATGTCAATTTTTCAAAAGTGAAAAATTGAGAGGAGAAATAATTACAAATCAAATGAAAACAAATTAATAAGATAGTCTGTGGGAGACATGACCTGGAGCACATTCCTAAAAAAAATGTGTTGGGTATGCTTTCAAGGGTTAGAGTCTCAAAAATACAGGTTTTACCTACGTTTCATGAGTAATATTATGACTTCAGATTATGACTTCAGGGATTATGAAACTATCAAAGTGACACGAAGTTATTTCAGGAATGGGAGAGGGTGAAGGGGAGTGCAGACCACGTGGGTAAAGGGTAGACTCCGAGTCGTCTCCAGATGCAGGGGGCCTTACACGGGCCCTGCTCTGGGAATAATCCTGGTGACCGCAAGCGTTCTTCACTCAGGACCTACTACTGCTCATCTTAGCTACACCCCGTGAACAGGCGTGCTATTTGGGAATGAAGCAAAGAACGCTAATACTTCGAAATGTGAAGTCACTACACTAAAAACTTTAGTATTCACTGAGCGCAGCCTCTGCGCAGGTCCCGAGAGGGAAAATGACCAAGTGCAGACCGCGGCGTCGCCAAGTTGGAAATATGACGTCCTTCCAAGAATCGTCACCTCGAGTTCCTGGAGGCCACTTCTACAGCACGCTGGGAGCCACATGCAGACAGAGCCATGCTCACGGCACTCAGCTGCACTCACTTTAGTGCCTCTTCCTTGTTATTAAACATTTACAGACCCAATTTCATTCGATTCTCCAGGAATCCACTTCAGGGTTTAACTCACCTTTGGAAAAAAAAAGTTTTACTTAAAACAAAAATTTTTTTTTAATTGAAGTATAGTTGATTTACAACGTTGTGCTAGTTTCTGGTGTACGGCAGTGATTGTTATACATATACATCTCTATTCTTTTTCAGATTCTTTTCCATTATAGGTTATTACAAGATATTGAATACAGTTCCCTGTGCTATACAGTAGGTCTTTGGTGGTTATCTATTTTATATATAGCTGTATGTATATGTTAATCCCAAATTCCTAATTTATCCTCCCCCCATCCCCTTTCGTAACCGTAAGTTTGTTTTCTATGTCTGTGGGTTTATTTCTGTTTTGTATATAAGTTTGTTCTAGATCCGTGGGATCTGGCTCTGTCCTGCTCTGCTGGTCCCACAGCAAAGGGACAGCCAGGTTCAAGTTCGGGGCTGTAACCAGTAGGTCCTGGCTGTTTACCTATTTATATATAGTAGTGCGTAACTGTTCATCTCAAACTCCTCATTTATCCCTCCCCCCTCCCTTTCCCCTTTGGAAACCATAAGTTTTTTTTCTACGTCTATGAGTCTATTTCCATTTTTTAAATAAGTTCATTTGTATCATGTTTTTAGATTCCACGTATAAGTGATGTCACATGATATTTGTCTTTGTCTGACTTACTTCACTTGAAAGTTTTACTTTTGTCCAACCCAAATCTGCTCTAACCCCCTCTGATGCGGTGCGCTCTTAGCCGACAGGATGAAGAGTAGTAACGCCAGCCATCTACCGAGCGTTAATTCTGGGCCAGGCACTGTGCTGAGTACTTCATACATTAACTCAGCAATTTCTCATAACAGGCCTGTGACGTAAGGGCTCTTTTTATCTCCACTCACAGATGAGGAAACTGGCTTCAGGAGGTTAAGGAACTCACTAGGCGGCAACAGTCAGGATTCAAGCTCGGGTCTGTCTGACCCCCAAGCCGCAGCTCCTATTCCTTAGGTAAGAGCCTTTGATCTTGCAGAGGCTGTAATTCAAGCTGAGCTGTGATCAAAACAGTTGTTAAATGTCTACATTTACACATCACTGAGCACGGCTTGGCCTTCTTCTCTTTAGATCAAATACTACAGTTCCTTCACTGCAGTTTATCGTCCCCAACGTTCTGGGGACCCTCCTCCAAACACCCTGCAAGTTCTCCCGGGCCTCCTCAGACGACAGTCCCTGAACGTGTGGTGTGACATGCAAGTGATGGCCAGTTTGTGGTTCTGCAAAGTCCCTGCATCGTAACAGGCAGAGCAGTTCTCAGAGCTTCCTGAGATGCTCTTCCCAGGATACAATCCTCTATTTTGGCTCAAATAAAATTTTCCATTTTTTTCTTAGATGCACTGGTTTACTTTCTGGTGATGCTCTGGAAGGGGTATGTTAATTTCTTCCTTCGTGAAGCCATTCACAGGTGGGTCTGGTCAGGATGCTTCCTGGGAGCTAAGCAAAGGTATTTTTTTTTTTTTTTTGCGGTACCCGGGCCTCTCCCTTTGCGGAGCACGGGCTCCGGACGCGCAGGCCCAGCGGCCATGGCTCACGGGCCCAGCCGCCCCGCGGCGTGTGGGATCTTCCCGGACCGGGGCACGAACCCGCGTCCCCTGCATCGGCAGTCGGACTCCCAACCACTGCGCCACCAGGGAAGCCCTAAGCAAAGGTATTTTACATTAACACTCGTGACAAGGGTGGCTTTGCATCCTTTCAACACGCACTGTGTGTACACAGATCACGTGCATTCATTGTATGGAATGAAGGTGGCCACTTGCCCATTTTACAGATGAGTAAACAGAGGCATAGAGGTTGTAATGACTGGCCCAATGTCACCCAGCTAGTCCATTTCAGAGCTGAGACACATGCTGGGCACTTTAATTCGAGGGCCTGCCGTCTTCACTACTCCTCATCGTATATGTATATACACATTTTTATGGCCAAGAAGTAGGGCTTAGGAGTCAGGGGAGTCAGAGATGGCTTTTAGTCCCCTCTAAGGAAGGACTTCCCTACTATCAGCATTGGCCCGATATGACATTAAATGCCCTAGAATATGATGCATGCTTCGTCACAGGTTTCCAGGCACAGACCAAAATGGCCCAGCAATTATTGGAGCTGATAAAGGGGGTGATTCAAGCTTCAGACAGAGAGCCTGACTCAAGTATCTTTAAGGTTTTTTTTAACCCTGAGACACCAGGAATCCGTGACTCGGCCTGTGGAGCAGGACAGCATCTCACACCCACATCTATGAGTAAGCGCTTTGGGGCTCGTGAGTTTCCCAAACAATCACCCAAGAGTTGAGTGTTTAGAACCCATTTTAGGTTATTCATTCCCAGGTGAGGGTGACAGTTGGTCTAGATTATAAGTAACTTGTAGCACCCTCACACAAAGCAACCCCTGGCTTAGTCTCCTAAAGTTTCTTCCCCAGGTCCTGCTGGATGTTGGTGGAATCTTTTAAATATTATTTTCAGGAAAATAGCACCCACTTGCACACACATGCAGACGACCATTTTACACACCTATGCTTCAGGATATGATTGTAACTCCTGGGTCCCCCACCCTAATGAACTCCACAGGCGCTGTGCTGGTAGGTTGCCTGTAATACACCAGGCGTCTGTGACTCCATTCTCTCCATCTGAAACATTCCCTGCTCTCCAGCCCCTTTATCTGGCTGATTCCAGCTCAGTAATTTAGGTATCAATTCCTCTCGGGGAAATTCCCTGGCGGTCCAGTGGTTAGGACGCAGCACTTTCGCTGCCGAGGGCCTGGGTTCAATCCCTGGTTGGGGAACTAAGATCCCACAAGCTGTGTAGTGCGGCCAAAAAAGGAATTTTTTTAAATTCCTCTTGGAAGCCTATCTGACATTCCTCCTTTCCACCTGCTCGCCCTCGTGGTTATGTGAGGTATCCCGCCTGAGTGTTCCCATAGCGATCAGGGCTAGCTGTATTGAGAAGTCCTACAGTGCATTACAATTACCTGTCTACTTGCCCTCTCCAGCAGGCAGAAAGCTACCAGGGGACACAAACTGTATCTCCAGCACCTGGAGAAGTACCTCATCCCCTGCAGAAGTTTGAGCTCTGTCTAGCAAATGAATGGATGAATACTGGAAGGAAAGCATTTGGTCCACATGTAGATACACTTGAAGGTCGACTTTACCTTGGAACCAATCTGTTGGGTAGGTAATTAGCTGCCACCTTGTAAAGCAGAGAAACAGACAGCAGCAAGGCCAGGAGAGAAAAGTTTTGATGGAGTCTTAGGGGGAGGGCCATGGGAAGAGGAAGGTCTTGAAGGTGGGATGGTTCCCAGGAGAACACACGTGAGGTTGAAGGAAGCCAGGAGCCAACGTGGCCTCCTTCACCAGCTTGTCTCAGACTGGCTATGATCTGGGATGGCAAGTCACCGTTCTTGTGCCATTATTTATAAAACACGGAGCTGTGACAGGCTACTAGCTGTCACAGGGGTGCATCTAATCCTTAAGGACAGTGACAGGAAAGCCAATCACAGCCCCCTGAGCCATCAGTCACAGGGTGATTTGCCAAATAAGGCATGGTCTACTTTCCTGTGGATTTTAAGGTTAGGTCTTCTTGCTGTATTTTATATTCTTGATCACTTTTTAAAACAAAAAGCCTTTTTTTTTTTTTTCCCGGTACGCGGGCCTCTCACTGTCGTGGCCTCTCCCGTTGCAGAGCACAGGCTCCGGATGCGCAGGCTCAGCGGCCATGGCTCACGGGCCCAGCCGCTCCGCGGCATGTGGGATCTTCCCGGACCGGGGCACGAACCCGTGTCCCCTGCATCGGCAGGTGGACTCTCAACCACTGCGCCACCTGGGAAGCCCAACAAAAAGCTTGTTGAAAGTTGTAAAGTTCCCTGCTTTTTTGATGTGTCCTATTTGCAAATTTTCTCCCATATATGCCTTGATTCATTTCTGGAGCACAGGCTCCATGACAGGACTAACAACAGTCTACTCTTACGCTTTGCTGATAATATTTTCACCTCCTTTTAATGCCTTCATTTCTCTCTTTTGCTGCACTAGCTTCTTTTTGTCCCTCACTCCAAAACCTTCAGGAAGCTACTCCTTTGTACTCTTTATATTTTTCCTGAATTCCCTCTGTACGTTCCCAATTCTATGGCCCATCTCTCATCAGTCTGATAGTCCAGGGGAAATAAGCCCAAGTCTCTACATATTTACAAGCAAAGATAATGTGTTTATTCTGCATGTTTTCCTTTAAGACACCCATTTTAACAAATAAATATGTAAAAAGAAAAGAGAGAGAAATACATAAACAATTATGTTTCTGATTATAGATATATATATTATTTTGAACCAGAATTCTCCAGCTATATTTTAGCTAAGACAAACAGGTATTAACCCTTATTCAAATTATGACTTCCCATTTATAAACAGAAGTACTCTTCTCAAGGCAAAGTTAACTATCAAGTACAGTTTGGTATATCCAGACCAAAGCAAGTCATACAATGATGCCAAAGGTAATCTTTTTTTTGTGGGGGGGGAGGTAATTTTGCAATTCTGCTGCAAATTGAGCTATAGCTGAACACAACTGGCTTCTAACAAAATAATTCACTACACAGCTGACCTAGATCACTGTGTTGTTTTGAACTGAACGAATGTGGTATGCAAAACATAATCATAGTAATTAAGTACTCGGTCCAGAATCTTTACTTGTTCAGCACCACCCCCCATACATTAGCCTTCTTGCCATTTAGATACACCAGAGGAAAGGAGGCACTCTCATCAATAAGCGAGTTTTGCAAGTTCCCACCCACTCCTCTGTGAATTGTCCTTTTTAAAAAATAACATCACCTCTAGCCAGCAACTACATTCACCTTTGAGAGACTAAGACACTGACCACACCCGAACACACCACCTGATCCCCTACTGTGGCAACTAAGTGTTGTCACAATATTTTGGATCTTTTGGATACTTGGGGTGACTAAACACGTATAGCCCTGGTCGTTCATACTTTGTCAATTAAAGAGAGTGAATCTGTGGATAACTATTTACTGCCACAAACTACATTTCTGCAAGAACTGAATGTAGCCAGTATTAATATCGTGACGTTTCAAGATGCGACAAGAGAGGAGCACAAAAATTCAGCCTTCAAAAAAATTCAACAGACATTCTTTGACATAAATTGTAGCAATATTTTTTGGCTCTGTCTCCTAAAGCAAAGGAAAAAAAAGCAAAAATAAACAAACGGGACTTAATTAAACTTAAAAGCTTTTGCACAGCACAGGAAACCATTGACAAAACAAAAAGACAACCTACTGGACAGGAGAAAATATTTGCAAATGATACAACCAATAAGGAAGGGATGAATATCGAAAATATGTAAACAGCTCCTATAACTCAACACCAAAAAAACAACAACCCAATTAAAAAATGGGCAGAAGATCTGAAGAGACATTTTTCCAGAGAGGACATGCAGATGGCCAACAGGCCCATGAAAAGATGCTCAACATCTCTAATCATCAGGGAAATGCAAATCAAGACCACAATGAGACATCACTTCACACCTGTCAGAACAGCCATCATCAAAAAACACAAATAACAAATGTGGAGAGGATATGGAGAAAAGGGAACCCTCCTGCACTGTTGCTGGGAGTGTAAACTGGTGCAGCCACTATGGAGAACAGCATGGAGGCGCCTCAAAAAACCAAAAAGAACCACCAGCAATTCCGCCCCTGGGCATATATCCGAAAAAATGGAAACACAAATTTGAAAAGATACATGTACCCCAATGTTCATAGCAGCGTTATTTACAATTGCCAAGGAATGGAAGCAATCTAACTGTCCCTCAACAGATGAATGGATAAAGAAGATGTGTTTTTTATATATATATATATATATATATATATATACACACATATACATACAATGGAATACTACTCAGCCATAAAAAAGAATGCAAGTTTGCCATTTGTAGTAACATGGATGGACTTGGAGGGTATTATGCTAAGTGAAATAAGTCAGACAGAGAAAGACCAACACTGTATGCTATCCCTTATACGTAGAATCTGAAAAATAAAACAAACTAGTGAATATAACAAAAAAGAAACAGACCACAGATATAGAGAACAAACTAGGGGTTACCAGTGGGGAGAGGGAAGAGGAAAGGAGTAGAGGATTAAAAGACACAAACTATTATGTATAAAATAACCTGCAAGGATATACCGTGTAACACATGGAATACAGCCAATATTTCATAATAATATAAATGGAGTATAACCTCCAAAAATTGTGAATCACTATATTGTACACCTATAACTTATAAAAAATTATACATCAACGGTACTACATAAAAAATACATGTTCATTAAAGACAAAGCCTTTATTCCCCTCTCAGATGAAGGAATCTCAGGAAGCCTTTCTCTTCGGCCTAATTGACGCATGAGCTCTTCAGTGAACTGTTAAATTAAAATTCATTCTTCTTAGTTACCTATTTGTAGAACTACTCCTAAAATATGGAAAAGATTCTTTAAATGGAACTTTTAACGAAGACCGTGTTTTGCGCCTTTCACATGGAGGTGATTCTTACAGATATTCCATTTTTAAACACCATACCTGGCAGCCAGTCTGAACCAGGTTCACATCCTACTCAGCAGGAAGTGCAGCAGCAGTAGTAAGCTGAACACACAGCACTCAACTGATCAGGAAAAAACATACCATATTTAATAAAATTCCAGATTCTTGCGGTCGGTGTCCGTACAAACGCTTGGCGGTGTTGGATATGTGGTTTGCAAACGCAAGCAAGTCCTCCACGGTTCCGTATCGGACCGATGACAGCCAAGGCCCCTCCTGGCCGCTGAGCAGCACGGAGTCGGCACGCCCCTCCTCCTCGTGATTGCTGTCCTGACACACGGTCATCAGACTGGGTTCGTAGGCCACAGGCTCTTCACTCGCGTAAAGATTTTCCATAATGTCTATTACATCAGACACGTTCAAATGTTTCATTAATAAATCGATTTCTTCTTTGCTGTCACTTCCAGTGCTCATGAACTCCATCACTGTCAGGCTCTCCAGAGAGTCTGCAAAAGAAACCTCAACTACTTAGTTCTCTGTATTTGTATTTGCATTTGAGATCAATAGGAAACTGACATGAAAGGATTGGGAACAGGCTTCTACACGACTTTGTTTATAAAATAAGGCGGGTTTCCCTGGCGCAGTGGTTGAGAGTCCGCCTGCCGATGCAGGGGACGCGGGTTCGTGCTCCGGTGTGGGAAGATCCCACATGCCGTGGAGATGCTGGGCCCGTGAGCCATGGCCGCTGAGCCTGCGCGTCCGGAGCCTGTGCTCCGCAACGGGAGAGGCCACAATAGTGAGAGGCCCGCGTACCACAAAAACAAACAAACAAATAAAATAAGGGCTCTGGCCACAGTGTGTGTGAGGTCAAATGCACAGACAGTGAAGAAAGGGACCTTAGATAACCTTTAGTCCGGCGCTCATTTGACCGTTTCCAACCCTGCCACAGGGGACAATCTTCCCTGCATGATCTCTGTGGCTTTTAGGCCATGGGTGGCTTTTTTTTTAAAAAAGAAACTCCTTGGGACTTCCCTGGCAGTCCAGTGGTTAGGACTCAGCACTTTCACTGTGGTGGCCCGGGTTCAATCCCTGGTTGGAGAACTAAGATCCCGCAAGCCACACGGCACAGCCAATAAATAAATAAAATGAAAATGGAAATTTACTTAAAAACAAAAAACTCCTTTACCAAATTCAGGAGCTAACTTAGCAAATAAAATTCAGGCCCTGAAGCCCGAAGCATGTCACACGGATTTTAATCTGAGCAAATGTGACGATGGTAAGTCAAGTTTCAGGAATAATTCTGACACAAATAACAGCTCATTTAGAAAGGAGACGGCAAATCTCAAATCTTCTTTCTGCTGAGGACGGGTATGAGAAAGGAGAAGATTCCTTTAACCTGTCATCAGCTGTCCCCTCCTGTGACCAGGATTCTTTAACAGTACAAAGCCTGCATCTCAAAGACTCAAGAAGGTTAACTTAATATCTAGATCAATGACTCTCTAGAAGTTGTGGTTTTACAAAGAAGCCAGGGAAGCCAAACCTATCATAAGCAAGACAGGGGCAAGACTGACTAACTCTGATTAGCCAAAACCGTATTTCAGCTCTTCTATACAAATCAGGAGCCTTGGAGATCTGTAAATGAGAAGAAGGTAAGTCAAGGGTAAACAGTGATGCTGTTACTCAGGATCTGGGAACAACACCCTTCCAGAGGATTAAAGGTAAAAGGACTTAAGAGACCTAAGAAAATGAAAAGGTATGTATGTCTACCTAAACTACTGTGCTCCTGGAAGCAGCCTCTCTCTGCCAAGTCTTTCAGGTTCTTGAAAGCACAAGCCTTCAATGCGTTCAACACACAGGGCTAAACAAAAGCCACAGGCTCCCATCAACCTGGAGCACAAGCACCAAACTCCAGGAAATATTCCACCTTGGGGCCACCTGCCCACAAGACCCAGACATAGGCCTCTTGGTGAATTTCACTTGAGAAAAGAACCATGCAATTTAGTGTCATTATTAAGTTACTGGACGATCCATTTCTTTCTTTCTTTTTTTTTTTAATGCTCTTTTTTTAAAATATTTATTTTATTTGGTTGGGCCAGGTCTTAGTTGTGGCCAGCGGGCTCCTTAGTTGTGGCTCACAGTCTCCTTAGTTGTGGCATGTGAAGTCTTAGTTGTGGTATGCACTGTGGGATCTAGTTCCCTGACCAGGGGTCGGACCCTGGCCCCCAGCATTGGGAGCATGGAGTCTTAACCCCTGTGCCACTACAAATTGTGTATGGGGAAAGAAGTCTAGGATTACGCAGTTATGACACGGCATCTAGACTCAGGCTGCGGGGGGCCAATCTCAGCCCCTCCTTTAGTGTTTGCATGATCTTGGTCAAGTTTTGTACTTTAACCTCACTTCATGTCGACGTCCCCCACCTGCAAAATGCAAGTAATAACAGCATGTCCCTTGTAGGTGGTTGTGAGGGTCAAAGGAGTTCCAGAGCATAAGGGCGCAGAGTCTGGTGCACAGTACATAAACTATGTCTTTTGAAGCTGCTACGATGCGCATGAAATCGAAGGACTGGGTCGGATCCCGGGCTTTGCAGGTACTGCATCAGGCCGCCTTTCTTAACGGCAAATGGGCTGCGGCTACCTATTCCCCTCCAACCCCCATCCTCCCCCTTCTTCACAGTAAGGTTTTAAAGACTGTTTCTAAAATAAGAGACAAAGAAAGAAAAAAAATAAAGGCAGAAACCAATGAAATGTTTTGATGGCTGTTATCATTACAGTTACATCTGGAGAGCAAAGGAAAGCCCCCTCTCTGAGACCTGGCTGGTCTTTGAGGAAGACCGATTCAGGCTCTTGGAGTCTCTTGACTTATGAAAGGAATTTTTTAGGTTAACGGAGGAACATTGGACTGGGTTTCATGGGGCCATTTAGTTGCAGTTTTCTACTTGTAGAATTTACAGGGAAAAAAATGGAATTGAAACAACAGCTCAATTCAGGACCCCACTGGCTGAAAAGTTCCAAAGCTGCTGGATTTACTTAGCGAATGGCTGGCCAGAGAGAAAGTAAAGTTCCCAGTAGTAACAGGGCTATAGAAAGAGAGGAAAAGGTCCATACAGTTTACAAGTCGGTTAGCTGGTCCAGAGAGGAAAGGCAGGTTTTGGTTTTTAAATCCTGCAGAAAGTCTGGAACATTTGTATGTAAAACCTGAGAGGCGGAAACACACACGCCCGTAATCTGATTGCTGGGGGAGGGCAGGGAGGTGGAGGCGTGTGTCTTCGGTGCCACTAATCCCCTAGCAACGCCAACCTCCACTCCTGCAAACCCGCGTGCAAACCCGTGTGCGCCCCAGAAAACCCTGACAACCGCCCGCTCAGGGTGCCGGCAGAAGCCTCAGCGTTTTCAGGCCTTAATTAAGCAGACAAGATGCTAATGATTTCTGCGTTCCTCACCACCAGTAGACGTCTAGAAAAGTGAATGATGAAGGGATCTGTATTTCACTTTAGCAGCAAGCACCCTTCCCCACACAGTGTTCAATAAAAATCTGCATTAAATCCCCACTTGTTAACGCAGGAGGGGACTATACCAATTTCAGAAATGGACAAATGGGCAGATACAGGCAAAATGATCTGCTTCAAATAATTTCTGAAATTGGCAGTAAAGCCAAGAGGAGATACTCTCCTAAACATAATGGCATACTCTTAGCTACTTCCATCTCCATAGACAAAGGGTGAGCGTTTCCTGGCAAGTGCGCATGAAGATGGCCAAGATTACTGGTGTAGGCTCCTACCTTACAAAGGATGATCATACCTCATGTTACTTCACATTTAAAAGATTTTTCTGCCAAAATAGTACATTGCCCCTCAGGGCACACCTCCAATAAGACTTCTTCTAATAATATTTTTTTCTCAAAAAGCCCGAGAATTGGGACTTCCCTGGTGGTGCAGTGGTTAAGAATCCGCCTGCCAATGCAGGGCACACGGGTTCAATCCCTGGTCCGGGAAGATCCCACATGAGGCGAAGCAACTAAGCCCGCACACCACAACCACTGAGCCTGCGCTCTAGAGCCCGCGCGCCACAACCACTGAGCCTGAGCTCTAGAGCCCGTGTGCCACAACTACTGAGCCTGCGCTCTTGAGCCCGCAAGCCACAACTATTGAAGCCCCTGCACCTAGAGCGCGAGTGCTCCGCCACAAGAGAAGCCACAGCAAGGAGAAGCCCGCGCACCTCAGCACCCCCTGCTCGCTGCAACCAGAGAAAGCCCGCGCAGCAACGAAGACCCAACACAGCCAAACATAAATAATAAATAAACAAATTTATTTTTTAAAAGAAACCGAGAATGAAGACATTCTAGCTGTATTAGAAGCACAGCCACTTCAAAACGTCTAGATGCCTCAACCATCCGATTTTCCTTATAGGACGTCTGCCAGAAATACCGCACACCAACCTCAACCCATCAGATCTGGGGCCGTCTGCCGATTCAGATTACCTCCTACTTGGCAAGTACCTAAAACTGAGGCCACAGATACGCAAAGCAACTGTATTACTGCTTCTTTCCCTGTTTTTGTCGGGAGCAGTCCTTTATTCTGGGCCAAAATACGTCTTTCCAAAAGTGAAACAGACGTTGCAATGTTTTCTTAAAGATAGCTCGCGGCCTTCCCCGTTAACTTTTGGGACGATCTGGACGCTGCGCTTCCTTTTTCAACGTGGTTCCCCTCCTAGAACTAGAACTTCGGAATCCTGATACTGCATTTCCACGGGGAAACATCTGTGAAATAACATTTTTCCCCTTAACATTCTTTCTTAGGCCAAAAGCCCAGCATTCGTCTTCTGCTATAACCACCCTACTGGTCGCAGAATGGGATCCGGGATGCAAGCGTGAAGTTGCTCGGAGGCTCTCGACCCTGCTAAACCCCCTCCCCTCCATTCCTCCCGGTCCTTAAGACGAAGGGAGCGTTAAAGGACGTGCACATGAGAAGAGCACCCATCGCCAGGGCCAGCGGCAGCCGGGCCCCGCGCCTCCGGGGCACACTCACCGGGTCTGAGCAGGGAGGGCGCAGCCTTGCGGGTGGCGCCCGCGGCGGGAAGCCAGGACCTGCCCTGCTCGCGCGCTAGGGATCCGGGAAGGAGGAGGAAAGGGGAGGAGTCGCGGCCGGAGCCCCGTGGGACCCTTGCGCAAGGTGCTTTCCAGCTGCGCCGGCTGCAGCCGCGACCCGCGCGCAGCCCCGAAGCGCCGCAGTCGGAGACGGGCACGCCCCCCCCCCCCCCAGGGCCCCGGAGCCCTCCCGGATGCTGGGACGCCCCGGACCTCAGGGTGCGAACCGCCGCGGCACCCAACAGGGCTGCGATCGAACGACAGCCCCGAGCCCCGGAACTCTTACCTGCGGCCTCCGCGCGGCCCCGCCGCCGTCCCCCGACGGCTCGCGGCGCAGCTGGCGGGCGGCCCCCGGGAGCCGGGCGCGCCGGGGTCCCCAGGTCCGGCGTCGGCAGGAGCGGGAACCAGGGCTACCGCCCCGGAGCGTTGGCGCGCTGTTCGGGCCCGAGCGGTCGAGTGAGCCCCGCGCCTCCCGCGCGCCCGGGCTGCCCTCGTCGGCCCCTGACTCACAGCTTCTGGGCCGGCCGAGGGGCGGCGCAGCGGACTCCAGCCGCCGCCTCCCCGCCTCTTCCATTTCCCCTTTCTCTCCGTAAACAGAAAGAGCCCGCCGGCTTGCAAGGCTGCCCGAGCCCCCGCGAGGGGAAATTCCGGCCTCCCCCCGCTTGCCCTCGGGGCGCTGGGCGGAGCTGGAGGTGGGACTGGGGTGGGGCGCGCCGGGAGCGGGGTAGGTCTTGCCACGCCTCCCGGGGGCCACCGCCGGCTGCGCGGCCCGGCCCACAGCGTGGAAAAACACCCCCGAGTTCCCTCCGACCTGGGGACCCGGCAGCCGGGGGTAGAGGGCGCCCCGACGCGGAGCTGGAAAGGGCGACCCTGCCTCCGCCCCCGGCCGCCGAGGGAAGCTCGTATTTCCTAAGGTGCCGGCGCCCTCGGTGCTGCTGTGGGGTCCCCGGCCCTTTCCCGCGCACCCCATGCCGGAGGGTGTGTCTGTGTGCTCGGGGGGGGGGGTGTGGCGAACAGGGGCGCCGCGTGCTGCCCCCGCCGCGCTACAGGAGGCGCAGGGAGCTTCCCGGAACCGCGGCCCGCCCCGCTCAGGTTTCGGTCCAGGTCACACACGCAGGGCGGTGATGCGTGGCCCCCTGCACGGACCCAGTTTAAGGGCTTGGGAGAGGCTGCCGTGGGAGGTGACGGGGCGCTGGACGAGGGCCGGGGTTCCCGCCAGCAAAACCTGGTTTCGCTCTTTGCAGCCTTTATCGGAACTGGTTAGGTGGCACCGCCCGGTTACAAAGTGTATCTGCCCCGTCTCTTCCTATAACCCCCAGCTTCGAGTCTGGGATTCTCTGTCCCGCTGGGGAAGAAGGTGCAAACGCGTCTAGAGCGATCTTCCTTCTCGAGTGGAAAGCGTTTTCTCGCGGCGAAGCCGGAAGGAAGTTCTAGGGAAACAGCGCCTCTCTCCGCGAAATCCTCTCTACTGGACATTGCCGATACCCACCGAGAGGCGGCACACGCTCCCCCCTGCCCCGCGCCCCTGCCAGTACTTCTTGAGTATCGGGACATTTTGCGAGACAGCCCCGAGAGGGAGAGACGCTGTAACGCACCGACCCTCTCCATCTCGGCGACCCGGACGTTGGACGTGCCAGGTGGAGCCCAGATTCCAACGTCCTCGCTGAGTCCGCGTCCGGCCCCATCCTGTCCCCAAGCTCGTCTCGGGCCCACGCACCCTCACACGCACACAAGGGCAAGGCTGCAGCGGAGCCGCTCGAAGACTCTCCGCGTTTCTCCTACGGAAAGTGAATTGTTATTCCCACCCAAGGAAGTCATCTGAGAATTGCCGGCGGACAGAGGCTAGCTGAGATGAGAAGCAAGGCCCTCGCTGTGGGACCTTAACGCCCATCACTTCTTTGTGCTTCTGGGCCCGCGGCGTTGGTGATAACAAGGGGATTGACAGACGCCCGAGACTTTAGTAAAAGCGAGCCCAACTAGCAAATTAAACGCTGACGACTGATTGGAGACACTGAGCCATCCCCCCAATTATTTTAAGTACTAGAGTGCAGCGGCATGAATGACGCGGGGCGAGTACCATTTCCAAGTGGTCTCAGGGCTGGACCACCCCCCGACCCTGGTCCAGGGGACTGGGCTTCTTCTGCTCTTGCAGGAGGGCGCGCTGCCTGGACCGACCCTGCTGCCCTGACTCGGTAGATGCAGCCCGCGCCCAGGCGGGGAGAAGCCCGGCTGGCCTGGCCGCGGACTCCGTGGAATTTGGCCGGGACTCAAAAGCAGATTATCCCAGTCTCGGCTGAAACTGTAGCATCAGCTCCCTTCGCCTTTTCTCTGGGAACCAGATTGGCCTGGTTGTTGCCTCTGATCATAACGTGAGAGACGTCTCTCCTCTATCTGTTGTCTCTGACCAACGAAGGATGATCTTTATAAGCAATTTTAAAAATAGAAACATGGAACCACCCCCTTGATGAGCTAATGAAAACCACACCTAATCTTCTGGGAACTAAGTATTAGCCTTACTTCCTACACAGAGGTCTTCCAAATATAGTTGCATTTCAGGGAGCTGGTGAAATGGCTGCTGCAGCGGGGTTCTCTCTGGCTGTTCATTGCTTATGCAGTAGCAGAGTTCACCTGGTGGGGTCGATTAAGAGATTTTACTCAAATACATTTTTAAAGTCTAGCAGAGATTGGATCTCGTGACCCGGATTGCCAGAGAGAGAGGACAATTGAAGAGAAAGAAAAAGTTTGCAGACTACTTGCATTTTTCTCCATCAAGACTTTGTTACACAGGCTTGCAAAAGCAATACTGCTCAGCATGCTAGAACAGTGAGGTTTAAACTTGCCAAGGAGAAACCACCGGAGCGGGAGTGTGCACAGCCGGAGGTGGCTGATGAGAGCACGTGACAAAACAGCTCTGGATGCTGTTTGCGCCCAACAAAATGCACTTGAAAATTGAGTTGCAAGGTTGCAGTGTACTTGAAGAGGCTTTCTCCACTGGCAGGTTGGGACAATAATAGGTTTGTCATCTGTAGTTTGGAAATCAGAGCTCATTTACTCAACAGAACCAAAACGATGAACAGTAGTAGGTGACCCAGTCAGTGCATCAGCCTTGTAACCTTAACAGGCTCTAGACTAATAAATAGAATACAGGACACTGCTTTCCAGTCTTCTTCATATTCAAAAACTATAATATTTTTAGAGAATACTGGGATAAACTGGAAAAAAGTAGGGGATACCTATATGTGGCTTGGTGAAAAAATGTATTTCTTTTTCTTAAATTATAATAACAGTAAAATACAAAAGGGTTTGAGGAAGATCATTAAATACTGAATTTCAGTTAAGCTTTAAATAAGATTTGGGGCTCTCACTGCCGTGGCCTCTCCCGTTGCGGAGCACAGGTTCCATACGCGCAGGATCAGCGGCCATGGCTCACCGGCCCAGCCGCCATGTGAGATCTTCCCGGACCGGGGCACGAACCCATGTCCCCTGCATCGGCAGGCGGACTCTCAACCACCGGCCCACCAGGGAAGCCAAAGATATTTTTAAAGTTAAGAGGAACTTGAGCCTGATTTCATGAGCATAACTTTTTTCTGTCTGGCTTTTGTTGCAGCTATACATATTTACCCATCAAGAGGTTTAAACAATGACCTCTTTAAACTTCTGACAATAACCTTCAGATGAGAAACTGTACAGACACGTGAGTAATCAATTTAAAACCACTATTACAATCTTTAACTTTTTTGAACCGTTGAAATTGTATTTTAGAAGTCCAGTAGGTCTTATTTTTCTCATTGACGGAGGTAAGTTTCTTATGATAATGTGAGTGGATTTCAGTGATAATTGAACTTTTTCATATTAAGTCTTTCTAAGTTACAAAGCTGTAATTTGCAAAATTTGCATATGCACTGTCAGAGAATTTAGCTTGGATGCCACTAAAAAGACACAGCAGATGGAAGGATGAAGCACCCAGGGGAGGAGATTCAGGACCGCCAGACCCACCCTGTCCCCCCACTCCCAAGGCTGATGCTCCTTGGACTTTGGCCCTGCTCCTCTGGTACCTGAAACACAAACTGCTTCCTCCAGCCCGGCCCGGGCCCCCTGCAGCTGCTGGCGATGAACCTGCTGGCCTCTCGCTGCATCTTGAGGTGGATTAGGATTCCAACAGAGCTGTGGGGACCACCACGTGTGCAACATCACATTCTGCTCTGCCGTCCCCGCCGCCCTGGCCACCGTACGGCATCCCAGAGAAGATTGCAGAGGCACCTGAATGCCTTAAGGGATCCGGGGGTATCTATATTCCTGCCACATCGGCATGCAAGGCTTTCCCCTGCAGACCACCCAGAGGGCGGACAAGGATGAAAGGGACAGTCCCCTCTGTCCTCATCCCTCCTGTGTCTCTCCTCACCTTCTGTACTCACAACTTCTGCCATCACTGTGCAAAGTGGGAACAGCAAGGAAGGAGGGCAATGGGGCCCGGGGCAGAGATGGAGACCTCACATGGGGCAGATGGGGGGAGAAATCCCCTGCTTCCAGATGCTCTCAGCTGTGGCCGTAGTTTATCTCTGAAGGCCGTGTTTAAACTGGGCCTAGGTGTGAGTCAGACACCTTTTGTTCTCATGTGCAGAGAGCTAAAACTCGGGTCTCTCAAAGAACCTACATCACGCCGTTCTGTATGAAATGTATTATGTTTTTTTGTTCGTTGCTTTGTGCTGTGACTTCCCCAAATGTGAGGTCCATGAACCACACTTTGAAAACAGAAACTACTGCCCTGTGCTTCTCTCTTCCACCCCCCAAATGGAAACTCCTGGTACAGCATTTCTTAATCTCGAGCTTCCGAGATTACCACATGGGTTGGGATGCCCCCAGGAACTGTTCAAGGCTCTCTCCTCCGGCCAGTGCAATAACTTTCATTTTTCTCATTTTTAGAGGGGGGGAAAAGGGGTCTGCAGTGGGGCTCCCCCAAACTGCATGGGGCCAAATGATGGAGCAGTCCCTGATGGATTTGTGGAAATAATCTCCTAAGCTTCTCCCACGACTCCTTATTAGCCAGAGTCCCCTCATCCCAGGACCACACATCACCTGCAAACACGATGTGAGGGGGGACTACCGGCAACTTATTGCTTGGGTGAGGCAAGGAATTGTTTTAAAAAATTAAGCACAGGCTGATCTGCAAGTGTAAATGTAAAGGTAGGAAAAAAAAAAACAAACCACCAGAAGAGCATCCTCTCCAAAAACAATCATTACTAACCTCCTTTGAAACGGTGTTCTTCACACACTACATGTTAGGAAATTGGCCGGATTAGTATCTCAACAGCCTTTAAAAAAAGGTGTTTCATGCTTATTCTCACGTGATTAGTTGAAACCAAGTGAGTTAAACACATTTTGGGGTTTGCCGTTGCAGTTACAACACTAAGAACAATTGCCAAGTTTCCTCTCAGCGTGTATTGGGAAGACTTCTCCCCCTTCTTAACCAAAGCCCGGGATTAATGTTCATGAGAACATTTTTCTAAGTATCAAGATGCTTCGATGGATGGATTGCATAATAATGAAGCATCCTGATACGTTCCGACCGTATTAAAAATAATGCTAGTAGCTGTCGTATTTTAGGCACTAGCTGCGTCCCGAGCACTGTGCCCATTGCTTTCCTGAGATGGGCACTAGTGTCTCTTTTTTGCCAGTAGGATTTACATGACTTTAAAGAGGCTAACTGATGTGTCCAAGGAAACCAGACGCTAATCCACGTCTGATCCCAAGTTCAAAGAAGCGATGTCTTGCATCTACCAGCATGGGGTTAGATGGACGCAGAAGCGCCTGGGTGCGTGGCTGGGTCTGCTGGTGCCACTCGGAGGAGAACAGGACTGAACCTCAGCCCGTTGGGAAAGGCCCCCCACTGCTTTCCCATCTGGCCTCTCCTTTGCGGGAGGTTGGTCTTCCTTTTCAGGCTCTAGCCTCTGGCTCCCTTCTGCCACATATGAATAAATGTCAGACATACCTCTACTGGGTCTTCAGCTGGACAATCTATTATCTCTAACCATGGGAGGAGAGGTTCTGAAAGCATTTCAGCTGTCTCCCAGGGGGTAGAGATGTGGAAGAGGGCTGAGCCCAGGAAAACTCAGAAATAGAACGCTAGTTTTGCTTAGGCTTAAGGGAAACCAGCTTTAATGTCTCTTGGGGTCTGTGGGAGCCCAGAGGGACTTCCTGCCCCCTCTCAGCCCGGTTCTGGGTGGGATGATGTGTGCTTAGAGGCACTGCTGGGGCTTAAGAGCGTCCTGAAATGTTCTCACAGATGCTGAGGGCGGATGGACCGGCAGTTTTTCCCACTCACCCACCCAGCTCTGGCACAGAGCACAGCCCCCCGAGGCCAAGGCTCTCCCCAAAACAAGGGTCCTCACCCAAAGCCCTACGGAGGATGGACGGAACCTATTTCTATCAGCTCACAGAGCCGGGGATAAACTCTTCAGGAACTGTGACAGCTGGTTGTTAACTAGAGTCATGACTAAAACTAAAATTATATAAAATTACAAGTAAATGAAATATATATTAAAGACAATGTAATAAATATGAAAACCTTACCACTTCCCGACTATTTTGTTGCATTTTACTGCTGTCCAGGCTCTCACTCATGTCTATTACATCCACCTGGTGGAAATACTGCACCGTGAGGGGTTCCTGTATGTCTCTTTCCAACTCCGCACTAGGTGGCCTCGAGTTAGCAACTGAAAATAGGCCATCGTGGGAGTATTTACACCACAGAAACCAGCAAATGCTACACACCAGGGCAGGGCTTTCACAAAGCTGGCTGTTAAACCTTTGCCGGCACAGAACTGCATCCAGGTACTTGTGACGCCCTTTTTAGGTACTTCTGACACACTTTAGGTTATTCGTTTTTGTACTCTACCCTCCCTTTTCTAACACTCAATAATTCATCGGAATAACTTTTATTTCTACCCAAGTAGCAAAATCTCCAACAATGAAGGGTGATCGTGGGCCCCCATCTCTCTGTCATTCCTGGAGCTTCATCTCTGTTCTAACAGTAGAGCCATGGGAGGGGGAGAAGGGCCTGGAAGGTCTGTCCTGAGAGCGAGGCTGCAGCCTGGGCTGACCCCTCGGGAGCGGTGGCAGCGGACACTTTCCTTCCTAATCTAAACTCCCAAGCTGATGCTGGCTGGGTTTACGATCAGGGTTGCCCACTGCCTCTTAGGAATCCCCTGGGGAATTCGTGTTCAGTATAAAGGGGCTTGGGCCCCTGAGATATGAATTTCAGAAAGCTCCAAGAGAAGGGGAGTATGGGGCAAGCAAAAAGAACATGTCCTGCCTTCACACCTGCGCTTTGCCACTTTCTGTCCATGTGACTGTAGGCAAATCAATACGTTCATGGAGCTTTAGTTTCTTTATTTACAGAAAAGGAGACAAATAAAAATTACTTCGTTTTCATTTTGCTTTTTACACTTTCCTTTTTTTTAAAAAATAACATCAAGTGCTATCAAAAACAGCTTTGACACCAGGAGCAAAGTGAAATCCATTATTATGTGTCTTTATACTAAAATACTTAGGAAAAACACAATACTTTCATGTATTTGTCAGTTCTTATCATTCATACAATAACCTTGAAAGTGACTGTCATTAGGCCTGTCTGACATTTGAGGAATCTGAAATTTACAGTAAGTCATTTATCTGAGATTACTCAGATAATACACAGAGCCATAATTCTAACCCACACTTGCTACTTTCAAAACGCTGCGTCAACTATACTCCAATATAAAATAAAAATTTAAAAATAAATTTAAAACGACATAAGTAAATAAACAAACTAAAAAAACAAAAGCCCATGCAGCCATTAGATTTATGATATTCTTTGACATAGCGGGGGCTACAAGTCATTCATTCAAGAGCCACTTATGGGGATTAGTAGACTCCAGGGACAAACCTCACCGTGCATCTGCTGCTCTTTATTTATTGTCCGTGAAGCCGCTGGCCAGTCCTCCCTACTTCTGCCTGCAGCCCTGCTCTCAGAGGCCACACCAGCCTCCCCCAAACCCCATCTTGGTTGCTTGAAACCTGCCACTATGGGTGGTTCTAGCTAATTGAACTGCAGGAGAGTCAACAACCTGGGCTTCACCCACCAGATCCAAGATTCATGAGCATATTCCAGGGCACAGACCTCTGAGAGGGGCTGGAAAAGTAAGATACCTGTCCTTAGCCGTAGATAATAAAGTCGGAGAAGCTCCAGACACACCACATGTAGGCGCCCCTGTTCCCGGTGCTCAGGTTGTAGCTTTAACTGCCCCCCAAAGAACTCCAAATTAGAGATCACACCAAGAATCTGTACTTCGTAAAAATTTAAATCTGATGGCAAAACAAGTTACGTTCAGTACAGACATTCTGGTAAATAGAGATGATGGAATGTGCCCCCTGTCCCAATACTCAGGTCAGCCATGACTACTGTCAACACTGTAGGGAACGTCATTCTGATTTTTTTTTTTGTAATGCACAGAAATTAAGATTTTGTTGCCTTTACCCCCTGGCGACTGCTTCTAAAATTAGCTTTGCAAGTGAGAAGCAAAGAGTAACCACCGCACTATTCAGAAGGCAATTTGCTCACTCATTTGTTTATTCACCAAACACTTGAGTGAGTACTGTATGGCAGGCACAGTTCCAGGTGCTGGGAAACAGCAGTGGACAAACTCAATGGCCTTCAGGGAACCTGTAGCCTGGGGACAGCAGAACACTGAAGAAACAAACACATCTAAGAGGTCAACTTCTGACAAGTACCATGACGGAAATGAACAAGGTGGAGGAAGTAAAGGGAAGTGAAAGATGCTTATGAACTGGATCTTGCGAAGCTCAGAGAGGACCTTTCTGAGAATGTGTCCCTCACATAAAGATGACGATGTAGATGACAGCAGCCTGATGTAGGTCAGAAGTCACCGTGTAGGTGTAGCTGTTAATCTCTTAAATCCATGCTTCAATTTTGTTATGAGCTGATGTCGATCAAGTCTCAAAGTCAGCAAAGATCTCAGAGGTGATTTAATTTAACACCTTCACTTTTATAAATGATAAAGATGATGTCAGGGCGGTGACTTAGCCAAAATCATGTTACTAGCAAAGAGAAGAAATATGTCTAGAGGCTAACTTTTGTCACCCACAAATCCCATCTATTATTACTATAACATGCATCTCCTTTTAGAGAAGCATAATATAAAGAAATGTTGCTCTATATTGTTCCCATAAATACACTGTAATCAAATATAATCAATGACATAGTATCTGGTATCTTTTTTTTTTTCCCTGATGCAAAGTCTGGGGTGAAAGAAAGAACAAGGGTTTTAGTGTCAGTTACATAACATCCGGATGCCTTTTCTTTTTCTTTTTTTTTTTTCTTTCTTTCTTTCTTTCTTCCTTCCTTTCTTTCTCTCTCTCTTTTCTTTTTTTTCTTCCTTGTCATTCCCTAGCTGTGTGATTTGGAAAAGCTACTTAATCTTCTGGGCTTTAGTGTCCTTACTTATGAAACCAGGATGCATCATAAATGTGGTTTTTATTCCAATGTTTAAATGGAGAAAACAGTGAGAGGTTATAAGGGGAAAATATAGCATACGTAGAATGATAAAAGTTAACATCTTCTACACAGGGGAAATAGAGTCAAGCTTGCCAGTGGTTGGGTTTTTCTTGCAACTGAGTAGGGCTCAGGTTAGTAACAGAAACCCTGGGTCAGTGTGTGGAGAAACCTGGTAACCAATCCAGCAGTTCGAAGCTGCATCGCTGTGGTTTTTCTCTTTAAGTAACCAAACCTTCCGGTTTTCTTTGGTGCCTGGTTTCTAACACTTGCATCATCAGCTGTGTGGTAGTGGTATCATTTTTACCAGTGAACTGGATTATCCCTCTGCAAATCTCCCTGGGGTTCTTGGAAAATTATCTGAAATTGATCACAGCCAGGGCATTTTGAAGGAAATACCCAACTAAGAAACCATCGACTGTTCTACAGAGTTTGCAGAGGTGTTAGGAAGATCTTAAGAATCTCTTTAGAAAGGTCAATTTAAAGGTCCATGTTTAGGTCTCAGAGATCTCCGTGGAATGCTCATTTTTTTAGAACACTGAAACAGACAGGAAGAAGCCGAATTTTAATGTGTTTGAGCCTTTAGCTCTGAGGCTCCTCAGGCAGGCTGCTCTTTTCCTATCCCAGCTGGGGATATCCCACAGACCAAGCAGGAGTGGGAGAAGGATCCGGGGAGAAGATGCGGCTGCATCCCAAGGATGGGAATCACACTCTTCCCAGATACCAGCCCCCTCCAGCTCAAGGCTGCTCTCCTCTGCTCTGCAGCCCCTGGCAGGCATTTCTGCCCAGAAAAAGGCATTCTTGTGGCTTGCTGGCAGCAACATTTCCAGATGTGTGGGCAATGCAGCCAGTGACAGATGGCCCAGAGAAGGGACACCGGCCTGCAGAGGAAAGAAACCTGGTACCGCCATCTCACTTCCCTCTTGCCCCTTCAAAGAAATTTTCTTTCTTCTTTCTTTCCTTTCCTTTTTTTTTTTTTTTTTAAGAAAATAAGATATGAGTTAGCATTAAATGTGGCAAGAATAAAAATGAATATTTCTGTGCTGGTGACTACGTGTCTGAGTTCATGGGTTTGTTGGCATCTAAGGTCATGGACCTCATCATTAAAGACAGGATCACAATGAAAACTCACCTATAAGTGAATCAGTAGAACTCTTTGTAATCTAAGTAAAAAAAAAATAGCATAAGCATGGACTTCCCTGGTGGTGCAGTGGTTAAGAATCCGCCTGCCAGTGCAGGGGACACGGGTTCCATCCCCGGTCCGGGGAGATTCCACATGCCGCGGAGCAACTAATCCCGTGAGCCACAACTACTGAGCCTGTGTGCCACAACTACTGAAGCCCACACGCCTAGAACCCGTGCTCCACAACAAGAGAAGCCACCTCAATGAGAAGCCCGCGCACCACAACGAAGAGTAGTCCCCGCACGCTGCAACTAGAGAAAGCCCATGCGCAGCAATGAAGACCCAACAGAGAAAAAAAAAAAATAGTATAGGCAAATATAGCCATTATTATTATTACTATTAAGAGGAAGTAAAATAGGCCACCTCAAAATATACCAGTTTAGTGTATTGATTATACTGAATTAAGTTCACTTGAAAAACAGCTGGTACAAGACACACTGACCCTCCTTTTTCCCCCTGGAAGCAGGAAATAAGTGTCCCATGTGAAGTTACCCTCCCTGTACCAGGAGGGTAGAAAGACATCCTTATCACCAGAGACGGGGAATTCAAGGCTGAGAAGGCTGTGGAAACAAACCTCACTTGCTCACTAATTTACTGCCCCAAGCCCACACTTCTTCGTGTTGTGGATTCTTCACAAATTACTGTTTCTCTGTCTAAAAGG